AAAAAAAAAAAAAAAAAAAAAAAGGTTGACCCATGTCACTTTAGTTTTGTGTATTTCACTGTACATAAATTATATTTCAATTAAATTCATTAAAAAATCAGTTGACTATACATGTTGGTATTTACTTCTGGATTTTATATCAAAAATCTTTTTGACCTTTCTATGCAATTAATTTATAATGATACTATCCAGATGATATCAAACTATGATTTATCCTACATATCTTTAATTAAATGTTTAGATTGTATTGTGTTATATTTTTAAACTAACAGTAACAGATGTTATATTCATCTACTAGCTGTGTACAACAAAATATGAAAGATTGGTTGCCACTGCATAAGTTTGTTTGCAAAAAGCTAATCTAGAGAATTTAGGATAAGACTTCATTTGTTCACATATCTAAATACATGGGAAATTCTGATATCAAATAAAAATTAAGCTAAAGCTTAAATTACATCTATACTGAGTATTTTAGAGAGGTTACATCAACACAAAGTTGAAGTGAACTTTTAATTCTTTATTTTAGAAAACCTTTTGTACTTAGTAAATGACACTATATGCAATATGAATGTTAAGTTATAAAATGAATTAAAAAATAGTTGAAAATTAAAAAAAAACTTTTTTTTTTATATTAACAGCCTCAACAATTTGATCCTGTTTATAATTGTAGCCAATATATATGCCTTGACATGGAGTGGAAATTGTACAACTGGTCACTTAATTGCCCAAAGGACATAGAAATGCCTGATTGTGGTTTCCGGGGAAGGCCTGTTCAAGTGAACAGTGATATCTGCTGTCCTGAGTGGGAATGCCCTTGTAAGTTTGCATTTCTTACTTACATGGCAGTCAGCTATTAATCAGAGTGGACTGTCATTTTTTGGGGGAACCTATCAACTCATCAAGTCTCAGTTATTATTGTTGAGCTTTTTGCTTTGAATTATGATGGTGATTCCCAGTATGTATCTTTTAGAATTGCTTCTCTGTCAAAGATAATGAGGCTAATTTAGAAGATTTTTTTTAAAGGCACAGTTATTACTAAAAAGACAAATATTAACAGATTAAATACACATTTTTTTGTTTTCAGGTCGGTGTTCCATGTTGTCAGAGCTGAGCATTATTACGTTTGATGGAAACAATGCAGCATTATATAGTATGGCTTCTTATATCTTAGTGAGAATTCCTGGTGAAATTATAGTTGCTCATATTGAAAAATGTTCTATGAACCAGGTAGGCCATGGTCCATTCTTACAGTCATTTCTTCGTAAATCTATATAGTACAAGTATGTTATAACACCAGGAATTCTTACAATGGAAAGGGACTCATGAACTCAATGAGAATGATCTGGTTTTATAAAAAAAAAAATATTTCATGTGAATATACTTACAGGCAAATAATACTTATCAAAATAATATTTTGAAAAGTCAAGTAACATATTTCATTTTTTTCTTTATATTACTTTTCAGAATGGACACTCCTTGACAAAGGTAGTGAGTATTTGCAAAGTAGTTAGTAAATTCATTTTATTTATACTTAAATTATGTTTAACTCCATAAAATTTTAAATATTTTCAAATTAAGGCTTCTTCTGGAAGGATCTCTGGACTTTGTTTTAAGAAGTTAAATCTGACAACATCTATACATAAAATACTTGTCAATCGTTTAGAAAGAAAGGTAAGAACACAAAGTTAAAAAAAAAAAGTTAAAGTCCTTATGTTAGATGAAAATAAGAAATGAAATAAACAATTATTCCCAATAAAAGAGAAAAGTATGCATATGAGTGAAGGTTCATAGCTATTCCATCTAAGCATTCTATTCATGGACAGTCTAAACATGTTTCTTAATATTATATTTCTCCCTCCATAATGAGAAGATTATTACAAATACGTTTTTTAGGGAGGTTAACTATTAAGGCCATTTTGTTAAACATGTTAAGCCCTCTCAGAAAATGTGGGTAGCTGAACTTCTTAGTGCCAGAGTTAACATTTGTGTTTCAAATTAGAGAGAGTGTATATGACATGAAAAAGAAGGATCATAAAGGTAAAAAGAGTAGTAGCTATGACTTTCAGGATGAAGGCCACTGAGTGGAGAATAGTTGGAAGAAATAAGTTTAAAGTATTACAAAAACCTAAACCAACCCACTGCCTTCAAGTTGATTCTGACTCACAGCAACCTTATAGGACTGATTACAACTGCCCCATAGGATTCCCAAGACTGTAAATCTTTGCAGAAGCAGATGGCCTCATCACACTCCTGCAGAGCAGCTGGTGGGTTCAAACCAATGACCTTTTGGTCAGCAGCTGAATGCTTTAACCATTATACCACCAGAGGTCCTTTGAAGTGTAAAGATGTCATTAATTTTTCAATAAATAATGATAGCTAGAATAAGAAAAGAGGACGAATATTTAACTTTATTGAAATAAATTGAAGAGGAGCAATGCATTATAAAAAATTTGAAAAATAGCTATTTGGTTTTATAGGAAAAACCTCTATCCCCAAGAATTTGTGCCTAATGGATAACAGGGAGTTACAAGCTGGATCCTTCACTCAGATATAAGTGGTTCTTTCTAAAAGATAACAACAAAGTTGAAATATTTTACTCAAAGTGGATGAGATATTGTGTGCTTTCTGAAAATAATTCTGTTAGCACAGGTCCCTAGATTTTTAGACTGGAAACAATATTAAAATGAACCTAAAATAGAGTAAAATATTTCAGTAAAACTTGAAATATGTGAATGAGGTAATTTTTTGGATAATAGCATTAGTATATACTTGTGATTCTATTAAGATTGATATATTATTGGGAAGTGGGGGCAAATAAAAGTTCAAATCTGGTCAGTGCCATTGTTTTGAATGTTTGGGCTGCAGGGCTTATTGTATTAATTAAAAACCAATTATTTAAAAAATCATTTATCGATAGTTTACATGACAGTGACACAGGTCCTGATCTCAAGTAATTTGTGGTTGTGTGAGAGGGTGCATAAATGTGAAAAGAGGTAGAGTAAGAGAGTTATGACCAGTATATCATGGAAACAGAGAGGACTACTTAATGCACTTATGGGAGAGTAGATAGGGCTGTTGGAGGAGGTGACACCTACAAGATAAATCTTAAAAAGAATGAGTAGAAATTAACCAGACAGAGAAGAAGGGGAAGGAGTTTTCAGCCTAAGGGCAGCAATAGGAGTGTTACAAAGATAAGTAACTAGATGAGTGGTGAAGGTAACCTTGGAGAAATTTACCGCTGATTACAGCAGTAAATCCCAAATCTTTGCCAGTATTTGAAGTGTGGTTTTAAAATGTATAATTCTTGAACTCTCCACATGCATATTACCAAGATTATATGCTAAAACTACAGAGTCTTAGACTCCAACCCAAACCTAGTGATCAGAATTGATGAAAATCTTAATTTTTAACCAACTTGCCAGATATTTATTAAGAATATTATAATCAAATAAAGACTAATTTAGAAGATCAAAGAAAGAATCCAGATTAAGGAAAGTATCCTGAAATTAACTTCATTTATTTATTTATATTGTGATTTGGGTGAAAGTTTCCAGAGCAAATTCACCTTCCATACAACAGCTCACATACACTTTGCCTCATGACATTGACTACAATTTTCCACAATGCAACAGCTCCCCTCCCATTTCCTACCCATAGTTACCTCTTCTCTATGTCCTTCGCTCCCATGCACTCCTGCCACCCAAGCTATCTCTCTGTGCATACACAGTCCTTCTATTCTTCCATGATTGATTTCTCCAAGGAGTGTATCTACTTAATATAATGTTCAACTCATATGCCTATCTTTTGTTCAGCTGGAAGCCACAGGAGTGGGTTCAATTCCAGACCTGAAGGGCAGCTAGGGGCCATAGTCTCAGGGGTTCCATCAGGCTCTATCAGACCAGCAAGTGTGGTCCCTCTTTTTTTCTTGTTTTAATTATTTTGAGTTTTGTTCCACATTGTTCTCCTACTCTATCCAGGATCTCCTACATAGATTCCCCCTCTGAGTGGTTGTGGTAGCTGGGCACCATCTAGTTCTTCTGGTCTCATCGTCATATTGGCATAGAATCTCATGGTGTACAAGTTCCTTGGGCTAATTGTTTCCACAAATCTTTTGTTTTCTTCATTCTTCTTTGCTCTGGATGAGGAGAAACCAATCATTGTATCTAGATGGCTGTTGCAAGCTTTTATGATTCCATTCACTACTCACCAAAGTAGGATGTGGAACAATGTTTTGTGTGGTATGTTTTGCCAGTTGAGCCTGATGTCCCCTGAGACTGTGGTCTGGAGCCCACAGGTCCAACTAGTCACTCCCTCTGGTTACTTGACTGTGCCTAAGAAGTGACTACAACCTTGTCCCTTGTCAGCTGTACTATATACCTGAGAATTCTTACAGAACATACCAATACGCTTGTAGAAACATTGTCTACCAAACATATACATGGTCTTAGGAACACTCCCCCCTGCAGAGACATACCTAATAGTTCAGCCTGTCCACCCATCTATCCATCTGTATATCCATGTTTGCCTTCACTGACAATGTAGTACTGTATGTGCAAAAGGGTTCATCTTAGTTGACTGTACCTCCTGTGCACCTCTCTATGTCTTCTTCTTCCTTAATGATACTGTGTTGATACTCACATTTGGTACATTGCCCTTCTCTTCCCCAAATCAATACTTGTCTCTACCTATCTAACAGTGTTCCCTTCCCTCCCCTCCCAACCCTGGTAAACAACAAAGAAAATTTCCTTCCATATATAAACCTTTCCTTGATTTTTTACAATAATAGACTAATAGAATATTTGTCCTCCTGTGATTGACTTATTTCACTCAGCATAATGTCCTCCAAGTTCATCTACATCATGTGGTGTTTTTCAGATTCTATGTTATTTTTTAGGGTTACATAGTATTCCATTGTGCGTGTGTACCATAGTTTGGTTATCCATTTTTCTGTTGATGGATACCTAGGTTGTTTCCATCTTTTGGCTACTGTAAATAGTGCTGCAATGAACATGGGTGTGCATATATCTGTTCTTGTGTTGACTCTTGAAATGAACTCTATTATTTTAAGTTCTTTTAGAGTAATGGTATAATCAACCATATATTGAGGTAAACTGGCATAGAAGCAAGCGTACTATAAAATAAAGTTAAATTTAGAAGAACATAAAAGGCAATAAGGTTAGAAAAAATATGGAATATAGGAAGGCATAGCGAAGGAATAGTAAAGAAAAAAAGCATAGAAGTGATGAGAAGTTGTAGCAACAGTGAAGAAATAAATTAAAAAATCAAAAGTTTCTAGTAAATCCGAAGGAACAGAAAAATCTGAATTCTCTAATTTCATGAGTGTGTATTTAAGCATAAACATTTTTTAAAATGGTGTATTTATGCTGTTTTAGATAGAAGTGGATTCTGTTGTTGTGCCTTTGCCCTTTTCAAGTCATAATATGTCCATCGAAGATTCTGGCACAGTGTATGTGATTACTACTCCAGCTGGACTCATCGTAAAGTGGGCACATCTTACAGGAATTATAGACATTCATTTTGGTTCCCAGTTTAATTTGTCATCATACACAGAAGGACTTTGTGGTGAGCACTGCTCTTCAAATCGCATTTTCTTCTAATTTTTTTTCCCTTCTCATATCACAGCTTTTGAACCATGTTGTCTCACTTTTTCAGATTTGAGATGTGATATTAACTTTCATTTTCCCCAAGTGAATATTGAGGAAAGCAGTGACTTTCAGTAATCTAATTTAAGAAGCAGACAATAACACTTCAACTTGAGTATTTTATGGAAATATATGCTTATCTCTATTAATACAGATATAGTTTGTATTCTTACTAGCTCATCTTTATTACACACTAATGAAGTGTCAGACCATTATCTGACATGTTTTAACTAATTTAACTCTAACAATAGATCTATTAGTTAAATATGTTATCTCAACTTACACATGATGGAAATGAGGCATAGAGAGGTTAAAAGCTTAATAACTTTGTTTCTACTTTTTTTTTTTTTTTTTAAGTTTGAGATCAGGAGAAGCTTAAGTTCTTTTGAAGGTTAGATGCAGAGAACACAATGTTCTGAATATTTGTCCACATTTTATCTTGAACTGTAAGCCTAGACATAGCTCTCTACCTAGATTTCATACATTAATATGTTACACTGATGTACAAAGAATTATAAACTGAAGGTAGCAAATTAGAAATCTCTCTAGGTATGTAACAAAAGAATAATACTGGCCCTGTTGTCTGCTGGAAAGTTGAACGCAAGCTCTCCCTTGTTACAGTTCTGTGCTCTTAAGTTAACATCAGTTTCCTCTTAGAAATGGGAACAGTTTTTTCTACCTTCAAGATGGTCATTATGATTAAATGAGAAACTTAAAGTAAAACGTTTAACACGTTGCTTAATATACACAGTCAAGATTGTTGTTGTTGTTATGTGCCGTCAAGTCAGTCAAGATTAGTTTAGTACAAATGTATCTATTTTAACCTATTCAAATAGTAATTAAGGAGCTCTGGTGGCATAGTGCCTAAGGCATTTGACTGCTAACCAGAAGCTTGGTGGTTCAAACCCACCGGTCTTTCTGCAGAAGGAAAACTGG